TATATATATATATATATATATATATATATATATATATATATATATATTATTATTATTTATTATTAAATGCTGAAGATATATTTAAGTGAAGCGATCCGTTTATCTGATGCTTAATGACCTGTTCGGCTCTAAAGCATCTCACCTGTATTCTAAAGGACTGTGTGAGTCCGTCTTGATGGACTGGCTGGCATACTCAGGCCGATAAGCACCACACCACACCTGGGTGAAAAACATATACACACGCTAGTAATCTTTAAAAGCTCCTTCAGCTACAAAAAAATGTACCGGTAGTTCCTTTAAAGTTGTTTTTTTTTCATTTCCTGCATGTATACCAATAACTGATTCTTGATGGAATACAGTTTTGCCTCACTTCTCTAGGTGATGAGATCATGAACCTCTGTCTGCTGAAATATAACATTCAGAAATAACTTTTTCTTTTATCACTTACTTGGGCAAAGTTAAGAAAAAAAAGTTGTTTGTGATCCATGTCCAGCCCAGGCAGACGAGGTTCTTCTCCCTCCATTTCTATCCACTTTAGATAAGCCTGTAATCACAGTCCTTTACTAAAAAAAGTGTATCTGCAGAAAATATGCGTATACTGGAGTAACAGTATTTATTAGTTAGCGTAGAGTAGATCTTACTTTATAGGCTTGGCGAACCCCTCCATTGTCTGCTATATTCTCTCCCAGGGTGCTGATCCCACTGACCTGCACACAAACACACGAACACAATCCAGCATGAAAACAGGTTTTTTTTTTTTTTAATGTAAGACATTGCAGTCAAAACAAAAACACACCACTAACAGGCACTTACGTTTTGTCCGCCTGCAAGTTTCCAGATAAAGTTGCCATATTGTTGCACCATACACTGTGACTGGTCTTTAAAGTGCTCAGCTGAGTAATTACTCCACCAGTTGAGCATATTACCATCCTTGTCAAAATTACGCCCTGCAGGAAGACATCGACCTCTAAGTAAAGTGCTGTTTTTCCAAACATGCTGTGTCTGAAAATTAGTAGCCACTGTATTTATCTGTGTTCAACGGTTTAGGTTTCCAAAAATATCAGCGATGAATAACTGCTGTCTCACCATTGTCATCGAATCCGTGTGTGATCTCATGTCCGATAACCATTCCTATTCCTCCAAAGTTAAGGGCCTGGTGTTGATGTTTACTGAAGAAAGGCGGCTGCAGGATTCCTGCAGGAAACACTGAAGAGCGAAACGAGAAAGGAGTGAAGAGATGATGAGAACTGGCAGCTCTCTGAAATGTAACCAGGAGTGACCCTCACCACTCAAAACATCTTCAATTTTCCTGTGAGGCTGCTGGTAGCCCTATTGATGTTTTTAAAACTTACCTATCTGGTTTCTATTTGGTGAGTAGAAGGCATTTACCACCGCAGCACCGATAATCCACCTGAAAGTAGGTTTAACGAGGATTTAGAATAAAAATATATTGCTTTTCACTTGAACACAGGAGCTTGAAACATTTAAAAGCAGAAAGTCCTTTTAATGCTTAAACCTGCTGCATCACTCTTTTCATCCATTTTCTTTTTTTTTTTAATTCAACCTTTTATTTATACAGCTTAGTATCAGATGGTGGCGCAACTGGTAGAGCTGCTGCCTCTCAGCGAGCAGGTCCCTGGTTCAAACCCCGGTCCAGGGGCCTTCTGGGTGGAGTTTGCATGTTCTCTCTGTGCATGCGTGGGTTTTCTCCGGGTGCTCCGGTTTCCTCCCACAGACCAAAAACATGCATGTTAGGCTGATTGGTAACTCTAAATTGTCCCTAGGTGTGAGTGAGAGAGTGAATGGTTGTTTGTCTCGTGTGTCTCTATGTGGCCCTGTGATGGACTTGCGACCCGTCCAGGGTGTACCCCGCCCCTCGCACAGTGATTGCTGGACATGGGCACCGGCGACCCCCGTGACCCAAAATGGAATAAGCGGGTAAAGAAAATAGATGGATGGATGGATGAAGGTTAGTATCATTGAGCCTGTGGGACTCATTTACATGAGAGACCTGATTTTAACAAAGAGTTATGACAACAGTGGACGACAAAGACAATAATAGACAATCATAAAAAGCATACAAGTTGAGAAAAATAAATAAAAGAAAATTGTATTAAAAAAACTAAACAAAACAACTAGATTATAAGGCGGTGTAGAAAACTATAAACAGGAACATGTCTGTGTTGGTTATTCCCATGAACTTAACAGATGCTTAAAGCCACTTAGAGAGGTCAAGGTCGAGAGCTTCAGATCTTTTTGCAACATATTCCAGGAAACAGGAGCAGAGTAGGAGAAGGCCCTTTTGCCAAGTTCAGTCCTCACTGAGGGAACACTGCAGGTAATAATGTCCTGAGAGCGCACGCTGTAGCTGCACTCACGCAGAGACATGTAGGAGGAGATGTATGAAGACAACAAACCAAGAAGTGATTTAAAGATGAAAATGTACCAGTGAGAGAGTCTGCGTGAAGTTAATGATGTCCAGTTAACCATTGAATACAGGGTGCAGTGGTGGGTACGGTAGTTACAGCCAGTTATAAATCTTAGTGCACCATGATGGACAGCATTCAACATCTGCAGAGTGCTTGTAGGAGCGTTCATGTAAATAATGTCACCGTAATCAATGGAGGGAAGGAAAGTTGCAGTTACAAGGTGTTTCCTAGCATTCAGAGACAGGATCTATTTCTGAAAAAGAAACCCAGTTCTTGCTGCGTGGCAACAATACGAACCAAGCTGACCGTGGAGCTCAAACTAAATCTGTAACAGTGAACTAATGGCTATGAAGGTATCGGCACTGGTCATGTGCGTCCTTTTTTTTTTTTTTTGTGCGTCCTTCTTAATGACACGGCATAAGGTAGTTGTTTTGTTTGTCTGCGCAGCATTACGCATCATACACTACAGCCGAAAGCGATGACCATCAGCCTGATCTGGACTAAATACAGTTTGTAGCTTTTCAGGTTTCTGCTACTTACAAATCAGGATCCACGGGCTCTCTAAGCTTCTTCAGACTTTTATGTGCTTCAGACTTCAGGTTTTCAAGGATGTTCTCAAAATAGTGTTCCTCGCTGAAATTTTGCTGAAGAAAAGAAGAAATGTGTTAAATAGGCTGCATATATTCCAAACGGTGAAACATGCCTCAGTTTTTACTCACGTGGGCATATTCCTGATCTAACTTTTTGTTGCTTTCCTGTAGAATATGATCTGGATAGCCAATGTGCTCCTTGATTGCCATCGCCTAAAGGAGATAGTAATGCTTGTGATTATGCTCAAAATTATTTATGAATTCAACCGTTTTGTGTCGGGCTTAAGGACCTTTTCTCTTGCTTTCTCCTTCGAGGGTACATCCATCCAGCTCAGCTCCTCCAGTGTTTCCACATAAGCCTTCTGGATCTTACTGATCAGGTCACTAACCTGTGAACGTTTCACAAACACAAGTAAAAATATCCTGGGCAGAAAACTAAAGTCAAAATATTTACAATAAAAAATCCACAATAGATTTATTTACAGGTATGTTTAACAAATTAATTTTTTATATATATATATATATATATTTGAGACCACTAATGAACCAGGAAAGCAGAAGTTTTCTCAAACACACACAACAGACAATATATTTAATTTCACCGTTCTGTATACATTTCTAAGACTCAAAATGAGTTGAAAGAAACAAAGGAAATAATTCCAGATTAATTTAGTGAAACATCTGGAAGCTGAAAAAAATTCGGCATATTTGGATTTGAACTTCTAAAGTGGTAGAAACTGGTCCACGTGCACACGACAGGCCAGACAAACTCACCATCCGTTTACTTTCGCCAGCAAATGTCTCGCGCACATACAACGCTCCGACTGCGTTCTCCATGCTGCTCTGGACGTATCGGACACATTCTCGCCACCAGGCGTCCTCCACAGTGGTTCCATAAAGAGTCTGGTCACACACATACAGTTATTTTGGGTTTGAACAAACTTGTACTAACATTTCCTACAACGATGTCCAGTCTTTGTACCTTTCTGTAACGGGCCCTGGCGTCTTTAAATCGACGGCTCAAGCTATTAACTCTGTCAATAACGAGCTGCCATGTGAGGTAGTTCTGAATATTTCTGCAAACATCGAAACAACACAGTCGAAGTTATACCTCGTCATTTTTAGTAATACATTCCTCCTGGTCTCTAATTGGACTGACCGAACACTGTGACGAGAGAGAACGTCATTCATCTTTTCCAGATAGGGAGTGCTGTACACCACAACCTCCTCGTCCAGCTGTACATCGATGGAGACACTCGACAGCACACCTTGTATGAATCGTGTCCAGTTAAAACCCTAAAAAAGCAAAGCAAAAGGAAAAATGTTTTTATGGATCACCTCATGTTAAGATCTGAACTGAGTCTAAAACCTCTGGTTGTTGCATGCTAATGAACAAAAGCAACGCGTCACTGTTGATGGTAAATGGACTGTACTCATAAAGCGCTTTTCTTTCTTATCGAGATACTCAAAGTTTTTTACAACACAATCTGTGTCCTCATTTACCCATTCATACAGCACTCTGATCAGTGCTTTATCACATTTATACACCGATGGGACACACCTCGGAGCCAATGAGGGGTTCACTGTCTTGCCCAGGGACACTTCGGCATGTGACTGCTGGTGGAATCGAATCACCATCTCTTGCACTGGAGGACGACTGCTCTAACCACTCAGCCACAGCCGCCCCACAAGCATGATGAGCATGTTATTGTAGGAATTCTCTAACAGTAAAGACTGGGGAGAAATTATTTTCTAATCTGTTTCCAGAGCGGCACAGTGGCTCAGTTTTGTAGAGCTGTTGTCTATCAGCAAGAAGGCTGACGAATCGAATCCCGGCCGGGGGCCTTTCTGGGTGTAGTTTGCATGTTCTCTCCGTGCATGCGTAGGTTTTCTCCGGGTACTCCGGTTTCCTCCCGCAGACCAAAGACATGCATGTTAGACTGATTGGTAACTCTAAATTGTCCCGAGAGAGAGTGAGAGAGTGAATGGTTGTCTCGTTTGTCTCTATGTGTCCCTGTGATGGACTGGAGACCTGTCCAGGGTGTACCCTGCTTCTCACACAGTGACTGCTGGAAATGGGTACTAGTGACCCCCGCGATCCAAAAAGGAAGAAGCGGATAAAGATAATGGATGGATGGATGGGTTTCCAATCATTTAATAAAAAACAAAACTTTTGTCTATCAGGTCCTGCAGACAGACTTTTACTTCACAGGCCTCTATTGAAGCAGGAAAAAATGGACTTTCAAACATATTAGTCATCTTGTTTATAATTTAAATTTCTGTATTTTATGTTTTTAACTTGTCCCTTTATGTACTGTATTAGTTTTAGTTATTTTTTGGCTGCTCACATCTATAGGGGTTGCCATAACAAGCAAACTTGCTTGGAAGATTTGGCAATTGTTTTTATGCCGGATGCCCTTCCTGACACAAGCCGGGCTCGAACCAGCAGCCCCAGGGTTACTAGACTGCAACACTGACCTCTGAACTACAGCCCCAACATATGTACAGTCTGTAAGTTATGAACTTCTGTCAGACTTGGTGAGGACACCATTGCAAATTTTGACTTCTTAAATCTACAAATTCTAAGCAGGTTAATATATGAACTATATCTACAGGTTTGCTGCAATCAAAACAAAACCATAACTTTTTTATTTTTCCATTTACCCTTTATTTATCCAGGTAGTTCCATTGAGCCACGAGAACTCATTTTCAAGAGAGACCTGTTTAGGGAGCCGATGGTGGGGGTTAGGGGCCTTGCTCAGGGGCCCAGGGTGGGGCGAATGAGGGTGGAGGGAGGTGTGGGTGTTTCACCTTTTCCACCCACATTTTGATGTTGACGGTACTGGGAGTTGAACCTGCGACTTTCCGATCACAAGCTCATCTTCTAACCTCTGCGCCACCACTCCCCCTACTTCTTATAACAGATAACAGTCTACAAAGTGGTATTTCTGTTTTAGTTCACAAATTGCTGTCAGGAGACTTTTATCATCACACTCTGACATGACAGGGTGATATGCTGCAGCAGGGTCACGAGATGCGTTTACATCCTTTATCTGAGCGCGTTTCAGTTCATACACAGAATAAGCACAAAGAAGAAGTTATGTTTTATTAGCAGTTTGATGCATCTTGTTATCTGCTCTTTGGATTTTGTGTACACAAATCAACAGATATATGTAGTTCTAAGGTAAAGGCTGTCAGTGGAGTAGACAAAGGTTGCTCAAAAGCACTTCAGCAAACACCACATCCTGGCTTGTTATCCTCCTGTTGTTTGAAATAGAGCATGTTCATGAGGTGACATACAGCCAAACCCGGCTGAAAGCAGACTTACATTAAAGCTGAAAGTGCTCTGCAGTTCTCCAAGCGTCATCTTGTTGTAGAGGACAGTAACATCTTGGCGCTCTTCTGCTGGAGACGTAGCCTGTTCATCAGCAGGAACAAAAAGAGCTTTTTAATGGTTTTGTATGATCATACATCTGCTCTATTTTTATTAGCCCGCGTGCTCTTCACTGACATAAAGAGAACGAGGTGGTTGCGAGCTTGGCTCAGCTCTTAGACCCGCAGTAAATGCAACCTCCATTTACTAGACCCATCAGACAGGGTTCATTTTTCATCCTGTCATTATCAATTTTCTTTAGCCCCCGTCCTGAAAATCCCATTCCTGGTGTGGCTGGCACTCACATTAGCAATGTCTGTCTCCAGCTCCAGCACTTGCATCATTTCCTCCCACACTCTGTCGTCATCCTGAGTTAAGTTTCTGTCCTCTCTGGTTAATTTTGCGATAGAAACCATGAAATGTAGGTAGGCCTCTCGAACCTGTGGCACAATCAGAGTCGGCTGTCAGGTTTTACTTGACAACAAGTTAAAGTTCAACAGTGTTACATTTTCAGGTACCACTTTGCAATAAGGCTCCCCTTATAGATCGCTAATAAATAGTTTATAGGTATGTTATTAATTCCTCTATAAACACTTTATAAATCATTAATAACTGTTTATTATGCATTAATAAAGGGTGACAGAGAGACAAAAACTGACCAGTTTGTTGCCAAATAGTGAGCCATCTATATATTCCATCTAGAGTTGTTATATTAAACATTTCAGACTAAGTTACTACCTTGTAAGAACAATAAGCATTTGTTAAACTATTTCTTTAACATATAATATTGTACTTTATCACTGCATTATAAGTATCTACAACAAATATTATATCCTAAAAATAGGTTTACAAATGTTTATTGTGCTTACAAAGTATTAACTTAGTCTGAAATGTTTAATATAACAACTCTAGATGAAATATATAGGTGAACAGATTTGACTCACTATTTGGCAACAAACTGGTCAGTTTTGTCTCTCTGTCACCCTTAATTAATGTATAATAAACAATTATTAATTATTTATAAAGTATTTACAGAGGAATTAATAACGTATCTATGAACTATTTATTAGCATCTATAAGTGGAGCCTTATTGTAAAATGGTACAGATTTTCAAAAATTAGCTCTTTTATGTTCAGATTACTTGTACAGACAGGACGATAAAAGAGTTTTATGTTTTTCATGATGTGCATATTATGTGTAATTAGAAATAATTTACATTAACATAACTTTCTATAAACTCCTTGCATGTTCAAAATCAATCGATCAAATCAAACCAAAGCAGAAATGTAACTTAGAGTTTGACCTTTTTATAGTTTCCGTCGTTGAAATAATAATCTCTGGATGGCATTCCAAGTCCCGGCTGATCAATCTAACCCAAATACAAAAATAAATAAACGAATAAACAAAATAAATTAAACATTAACAATAAATAAATGGTTTTTGCATACCAAAAACAATGCTTTTGTACTAATAATATTTTTATCAGTATAACGAAGAACTTACAACTAATGAGTGTTGAACCAAAAACCTAATATTTCACATGGATAGGTAAATATGAGTTTTGTCTCAGAGTGATTTTTTTTTTAATTAATATGTCCTAGAATGTTTCTAACAGGAAAGAAAACAGGTAATCATTTTTCTATTGATCTTCAGAAGTTGTGCTTGGATCAGTTATAAAAGTGTGAAAGCATAAAAAAAATAAATAAAAAAAAATCCAACACATTGTTAGTTTTGGTTGTGCCATTTATTTGGACTTTAATGACAGTACACACAAAAAAAGCCAGCCTTATCTAAACTACCTACGTTAGTTGTTTTGTATTGTTTGTGCTCGAACAGTAATCTTACATAAATGATGTGGCGCTGAGAGTCCCGGTCATCTGTCCACACATACATGTCTAGAATAACCTTCTTGTGGAAACGAGCCGTGAGCATAGCCAGCGTGTCCTCAAGGCTCCACGCTTCCTCTGAAATAAAAGGATTAATGAGCACCCGGTTTAAACCCACATGCGTTGCCGTGAAGAAGCGCACACGAACTGGGCCTGCTGCGTGGATCTGTGTGCAGATGCAGCTATGCGTGGTTAATTCTGTTTGAGCCACCGTCCATGATTACATTTAATTAAAGTGGCAAGAGCCTAGAGCATGGGGAAGAGCAGCGCAGACTATTTAAAGCATGCTTCAGAGTCCTGATTGAGGACCTGCTCCTCTGCCCACGCACCACCGCCCTCCCAAACGCCCCCCACACCTGACTGCTCTGCTGAAAAAGCCTCCACGGGCCTCTTGATCCCCACCAACAAAGCTGGTGCTCAGCGGTTCACTGAGTGCAAATATAGCCACACCGGCTCTGCGTGAATGCATGTATTTCTGAGGAGCGACGGTGTGTGGATGCATTGCTCACATGCCAGTTTGTGTAGGAGACATTAATCTGTGCTTAAGAGAGATTTTTTTCTTCTACCTGCTGTGGTGTTCCAGTCCTCTGATGCCACAGGCCAGTCGCCAATGCTCTCAATGAGCTTCAGGAGGGGCTGTGAGTCACGCTGCTCTATCAGGCCTGTAAGTCCGACACATTCAACTGAGAAAACATAACACGGCACGTGGCTTTCACGGTGTTCGTGCAGTAAAGCATTTGTGACTTTTAAAGATCAGAAACAAAAAGAGTCCTAAAACAACAAAACCAGTTTGATCCTTTCAATGTTGTCACCAGTTGGTCACGGTCAATAGTGTAAGCTACAGTAAATACAAGCGTACTCAGCAGGAAATGGCTCATTTGATGCCAAATTAAGTTGGAATAAGTGACTAATTGAGTGTGTTTGTCCATGTCCTATAACATGTCTATTCAACTAAGCTGCTCAGGGGCCACAGTTACTGAAAGCCAAGAGCTCAGGGGCCGGACATCAAGTTATTGTCGTTAAGTACGTTTGTTTAGTTGTGTTAATGGTTATGAAGCATTCACTCTATTGTGATCCATTTTTCTTCTGTACATTTTTCAGCATCTTTCTTGGTCCACACATTTTGTGTATTTCAACAAATCATATATCAAAACGTTCAGCTCTTTCAGGACAATCCTGCTGTGACTTTTGGTATTGGTGCAACTTTAGCTTTTTGAAATAATTAGCCTTTTCTGCCACTTTTTTTTTTCCTCATGAAAAATGAATACATCCTTCAAATTTTTAGATCTGTTTACAAACTTTTACTGCTCCTTTCACATTTTGTTCTGGTTCTGCTTCTTTCAGCTTACTTGTGCAAATTTAAACACTTTTTCAGCTAGTTTCGGCTGTTTTTTTCAGCTGTTTTGTGCTTCTTTCAGCTTTTTTTCTGCTAACTACAACATCTTTGTGTGTCTTCTAACTTCTTTCTGCTAATTTCAGCTTATTATGCACCTTTCCGCTTATTTCTGCAAGTTTCAGCTTTTTCTGATATTTAATACTATACAGCTATTTTTATGTTAATTTGAGCCTTTTCAGCTACTTCCACATTTTTTGCATGCATTTCAACTTTTTTCAGCTTAATTTAGTGAAGCCGTGCTCTCTCCACTTCGTTCTGGTAACGTTAGCTTCATTCTGCTTTTCTTTTTTTTATAGCTAATATTCAGCTGTTTTTTAAACATATTTCTGCTTTTTACAGATAATTTCCAATTTTTTGTGCTCATTTCTGCTTCCTTAAACTTAATTAGGTACAATTGTGCTCTCTTTACTTCCTTCTGGTAATTTAAGTTTCTGTCTGTCTTTTCAGCTATTTGTTTTGTGGCTAATTTCAGCCTTTTTTATTATTATTATTTTATTTTTTGCAAATTTTTGTGCTCATATTTGTTTATTTAAACCAAATTCAGCAAACATGTTCTTTCTGCTTTCTTCTGCTAATTTAGACTTGTTCTTCCATTTCAGCTACATTTCAGAATTTTTTTTAGCTAATTTCAGCTGTTTTTCAGCAAGTTCTTCAGCGATAAGCATTCACACTGCATTTTTGCAGGAAATGCAATTTCTCTAGTTTTATTTTAAAATGAACCCGTTGGTGGGCCGAACTGAGCACCCTTGTGGGCCTGATTTGGCCCCTGGGCCACCAGTTGAGTAGCCCTGTCCTATAACAGTCATGATCTGTTCAAGTTTAACCATGTTTTGGTTTTTGTGTCAAGTTCTGACCATTTAGTTTAGTTTTTCAATTTGTTTAATTACTTTTTAAAATCACTGCTTTGGTTTGCAGGTTCTGTTAAATCTGTATAGTTTCTATGTTCTGGGTTAGTAAAATAACTACCGTAAGTTGTAAATCCTCACTCTGGTGCGATGTTGTTCAAACTAACTTACTTCGGCAGTACTTTAACAAGACTTTGTCAGGTCCAGCGTTCTTCTCTTATATTGAATATTGGGGTTCTACTTTTGTGAACTAGTCCCCAATTAGACATTTAACAAATTAAAACCTTTAGACAAATAAACGAACAAAGCTGCCTAAGAACAAACTCAAGTCTAAACAAAAGAAACATCCAAACAGGCTGATAGTAGGTGTAACAATCCGACTGAAACCAGTTGTGAAAAGACAAATAATTAAACGTAACAGAAATTAAAATGGGCAGGTTCTACTAAATAAAGCACCCTAACCACAGTAACACAGACCAAATCATTTTGTACATCTGTCTGAACATTAGTCTTTATAAAACAACACTGCTGTCACTTCAAATATAAAAATAATGATGATCACGGTTAAATTACTAACTAAAATTGTATTTTGTGAGCAAAGTCACAACATTTTAAAGTTATACAATCAATATTAAAGCAAAAATATGCAAGGCGAGATAAAAACGATTAAATACTAGATAATACAATATTTCTATAGCCAGGGTGAGTCCTGTAATGAAATAGAGGCTGTTTGCCTTGTCTGGAGCGCCAGAAAACACGTCTTTAGTCACTTAAGCTTTTTGGAAACCAAAGCAAAGGTAAATTCAGTCAGGATAACAAAATAATCCAGTTAGATTATGTGAAACAACACTTAGATCAGCCTGCTTTAGTCCTGGATTTAGATATTGAAGTTATTTAATTTAGGATAAACACAAGGTACAATATGTTTTTTCACTAAGTAGATTTGTTTGATAATGTCCAACACAGGCTGCAAGACGTTAAAATCAATCAGTCAATCAATCAATCAATCCATGGAATCATTTTATGATTATTGAAAGAAGATCCTACTTCTTGTTCTATGTTTTTTTTTTTTTTTTGTTGCATAAATCTGGCTTATATTAAATGGTGAAATCTAGATAAAAAAAAAAATTGAAGTAGCTTAAAAATGATCACTTTCAAGTACAGCAGAAAATTAAAAACCTTCAACACTCAACCGTTGTCAATTTTAGCATATTATGGCTACGGTAAATTGTGTTTGTGGGAGTTCTGCTCTACCAGCTCCTGCTCCCACAGTCAGACTAATTATGTGATCCTGCGACTTGATGAGCATGAGGAGGCCTCAGAAGACACTCATCCAGCGCTGGAGCATTACCTGCCAACGGTAGTCTTGTTCTAGCCTTTTATTTGTTGTCCAAGCTAAATATTAACAACTTGTGCGTTTTTCTGTGCCTCCAGCGAGTTACCACTGAGGTCCTGAGTTGCTGAAACCTCCTCTGCAGATCTCTAGCTCCTCTGTACCTCATCAGTCCACGCCTTTCTACCACTTGCCTTTCACCTGCATCTCTTCCACCTGGAACCATGTGGGTCTACTCTCCCTACGCCTGACCTCAACCATCAACGTAAGAGAGAACTGCAATATCATTATCGCCCTCGACATCCTAGACCATGGGTGCCCAACGTGGCGATCGCGATCTACCAGTAGATCCTTAAGGTAATATCAGTAGAACACATTGCAAAATGGATGTCAGACCCTTTTTTCTTTTAATTTTATTTTTAAATAGACGTCAGCCGATCAATCTATCTTCACTACGCAAATCGTCACTTGACTGACATGCAGGTTAGCAAATCTGAGACCGACCTTTTCTGATACATGGGTCACCACGCATGCACAATCCATTCAACCGCTCTAAAAATAAACGAGTTGACTCGTAACAGCCTCCAGTTTATATCTAAACTCAAGAAAGTGTGTAAAATGAGTTGGGGAGCTGGACCAAGTAAAAGTAAAGTAAAGTAAAGTAAAAAAATCTACCGTTCCCATACGGAATGGGGGGAGGACTTTTTTTTTTTTCACAATTCAAAGTGCGTTTCACCAGAGCTGCATTTTCGGACTATATTCACAAATGCTATGTCACTGACTTCCTTCTGAAAAGTGAGCCGAGAAAGAAAACGGTGAACTAAAATCCCAGTTATCTGGACAGCAGTCACTTTCCTACAACTGACCACAGCAGCGAAGCATCAGTCTGGGTGAGTCACTTTATTAATTGTTAAGCACAAGAAGCCTTGCAAGATGGAGAGATGGTAAAAAGAGGCATTTGTTGAAGCCGCTGACTTGTTCAGAGACTTTAAAATCAAACAAATATTATCTTCCATCAACGCTCTCAAGTATCAAGAAATACGGTTACAGTTAAAAGCAGCTGCTGCCAGGGCTGAGTTTTCACCTCTCTGTCACGTTTCTGCCCCTTCCTGATTTAGTTTTCTGTTTCCATGTGCAGTTTTGCTTATCACCCATCTTCAGTTTAATCCTGCTCCTTCCAAGCTAAGCCACCTCCCTTGTTTGTTACAGCAATCAGCACTCAGCAGTTTCACCTGCTCACCTGCCTTTATAAGCTTCATGCTCACTCCACCAGTGCCATGGGATGAAGATAACAAAGGAAAGTGATATTGTAGAGTTAATAAAATAAAATAAAATAAAAAATAAAAAAATAATAATAAAAAAATTAAAAAGTAGGAAAAATGAGAGTAGGAAGAAAAAAAATAGAAGAGAGGAGAAACTATTAACAAGGTTAAGATTTGGACATAATGGACTTAAAAGTTCACTATACAGAATACAGCAACATAATACAGGAAACTGTCAATATTGTGGAGAAAACGAAACAATGGAACATATTATTTTAGTATGTAGAAGATATGTGATAGAAAGGAGATTAATGTTGGAAGAATTTAGGGAAAATAAAGAGAAGTTTAATTTAATAAATATACTACATGGAAATTCAGATAGTAAAAGTACTCGGATTTTAATTAGATATTTTTTAGAAAACAAAGGTGATTAATAGAATATAGCATAGAATAAGAGACATTTTGAGCCACACTCCATACCGGTAGGTGGTGGTAATGCAACCTCAACATTTTTTTGCCAATAAAACCTCAAGAACAACAACAACAACAATCCACCAGTGCCAGATGATCAAATTCTTTTAGATAGATGTCCAGCTATCTCTTCACAGCCTTGTTCTCTTGCCTTGTCTCGATCCCACGCCTGTTCCTCGGATTCTTCGCCTTGCCTGCCCCTTACTTGTTTTGGATTCTGCTTTCTGACCACGGTACCGACTCTGCTTCCCATTTCCTCGACTACGCCCTCCGGATCTAGTTTTGGCTTTGGATTCTACTCTCTGACCAACTGTGCATGACCTCTGCTCTCCCTACTGGACCTCGTCCTTGGACTCTCCCTTGAACCACATTCTTCATCAACCTGCTTCTCTGCTGCTGCTCACTCAGTGAGTGAAGTATGAAGGTTAGTGACTACCTTAAAAACCATTCTGAGCCTTCACAGTAAAACCCAGATCACTGACTCCTCTGTCTCTACAGATCAGACCCACCTTTGGACCCGGACCCCCACCAGAAGCTGTTTATCAATAAACACTTTAAACCATTCCTGTTGTTTGGTGTTGTGTGCTAATCCAAAACCCAGATCATGTCACTCTCAGGTTATTTTTCAAACATGAAGTTATTCTTGTTGTTTTCTGTTCCTTTGTGTGATGAACAGACGTCATTACTGTGTTTTGTTTATTATTTTGTACGCAGACCGTAAAAATAAATGGTAAATTAAAAAAAAAATTTTTTTTTAAACACTTTTTGGATTTTGCCATCTATGTTGCATCCACAGCGAGCTGGGACTTATTCGTTCATTCGACCTTTTATTTATCCAAGTTAGGTTTTTTTTTCTCAGGCAAAAAAAAAAAAGTCTGATAGGAATTTTTTTCGCCTCCAACTCCTACATGTGTCCAGTTAACCACTGTTTTTGTCTGTCCAAACAGGTCTCGCTTGTAAATGAGTCCTCGAGGCTCAATGTGATTTATCTGTTTAAATAAAGTTTGAATGAATAGTCACATTGAGTAGTGAGGAGTCATTTACAAGAGAGACCAGTTTTAGACAGACAACGGATAAAGTACAGCCAACAAAAAAAAACTACAGTAAAATGAAATTAAATTATAAGTAGTAACAATAAATCAAGGCCATATAAAACATGGTAAAATACTAAAAACAAAAACGTAAAACATAAAAAGCATATTTAATATGTTTTGTATTTTTATAGTAGGTAGATCACTTGGACTTGGTCATTTTAAAAGTAGCTCGCATGCTGAAAAAGTGTGGGCACCCGGTCCTAGACTCTAACCTTCTCTCTGCTCCGCAGGGTTCCAGCCCTTCCCCTGCTCTGCTAATATCTCACAATGTCAATAAACTAATTCTGAGTCTTGGTCTTTGTTCTCATTGGTCCTTATATATTGTTAAAGTCACAGTGTTGTAATAAAATCAGATTTTATTATCTGTAATTTTCTTCTGCTCTGTAGTTCTTGTTTGTTCCAGCTGTATTGAATGTCCAATGGTTTTGATTAAATAAATCCTTACATTTGTCTCTGTATTGCTTTCCAGAGACACACAAGTCCATTGAAATGGTTTGATTTTTGTCCAGCTCTCCTTTTTTTCCTAATAAATCCAAATATGTTCAAGACTTTTTTGATTTTTAGACTTGATGATGCCAAATGAACTTTGTGAGCATCACAGGACACGCTTTGTTTTTAATTTAGCAGATGGAGTCAACTGACTATTAACTGGAAAACTGGACCTGAGGCATGATTCGGTTCATGTGAATCAGTCCAAGGGTTTGTTTATGACGTTTTCATGGTTTTGATTTGTGCAAAAAGAATATTTCAAACGATACAGCTGATTACAATGCTTCTATTGTAGCAATAAATAAGAAAAGTATATTGAGAAGTGGCAACTTATTGTGCTGTGAAATAATTAAGATTTTAAAGTCTTCAAACATAGAAACAATTCTGACAACTTTGAAGACAAAACGACCAAAGTTTATGCATGCTTCACAGAAGGGAGCCTCACTTTCGTTCATGCAGGAGCTGTAGAGGATTTTAGCCTTTCTAATGGCATCTCTGTCCTGTTCACTCGTTGTCTCAAGAACACCTGCAACAACAAAACACACGCAGACATGAAGCCCGCACACATCCAAATGCTGCAGCCCACCGAGCACAGAAGGTTCGGTCCAGCTGACCTTTGAGGACAATCTCCAACTTGTCCCTCAGAATGTCAAAAACACTGTGACGGGAGCTCGTCTCCGGGATGACATGACGCTCCAGCCAGCCTCCGCAGGCGTACTGGTAGAAATTATCACATGGCTTTACAGATTTATCCATGTTCTGCAAGAGCCGAGCAGCTGTAGGGAAAAGAACAACGCAAGAAAACAAGCAGCACATGTAACTCTGCATGTGTGCAAGGGACGGGAGATGATTTGGACAAAAATGAATTAAACCAACAGAGATGGAAAAGCAGAATGAGGTTGTCTCACCTGCGGTGACACAGTCTTCAGACGTGCACACGTTGTTGAGGCTGGATTGAAGCAGCTGTCCTGAAACAATCAGTGTCAACAGTTATGAAAGAACAGAGCGGACTCTGAATCAGACCCCAGCTGAGAGACGGACAAGAGATTCTAAGAAACTACATCTGAAGTCAGAGCGAGGCAACATCCCTGTCAGGAAACACTTGGATCTGCTACATTTGTGTGGCGCTTCTGCAGCACGCCTATCAGAGATGCAGGCTATATAATATATTTTACGACAGAACCAAATAACGGTGTATGTTTGGATGAATTCATGAAATCAGATTCACCTGTTGAGCTCCTGGACATGCTCGGCCTGTTTGAGTGTTCTGAGTTGAACAGAAGAAACAAGTTCAGAAGAAGAAAATTACCCACCGAGACACAAATACTTACACAAAATTACCATATTTTTTGGACTATAAGGCGCACCGGATTATAAGGCGCATCACACGAAACTAAAACATTTTGACAGATTTTTGAGTGCCGCGTATCACATAAAATCAGTTCGAGGTCAGTAAGCACACCCAGAATTAATACATAAAGTGCACAAGATTATAAGGCTCACTGTTGATTATTGAGAAAATTAAAGGATTTTAAGTGTACCTTATAGTCCAAAAAATACAGTACAACATGGATGTTTTTAATCTTATTAAAAAACATATTTCACCTACTTTCAGCTACTTTCAGCTGTTTTTCAGCTCTTTTGTGCTTCTTTCAGCTTCTTTCTGCTAACTACAACATTTTTGTGCTAACTTTTTTCTGCAAGTTTCAGCTTTTTCTGCTATTTCAGCTACTATACAGCTGTTTTTATGCTAATTTTAGGTTTTTCAGCTACGTCTACATTTTTGCACTCATTTCAACTTTTTTCAGCACAATTCAGCAAAATTGTGTTCTCTCCACTTCTGGTAATGTAAGCTTCTTTTTGCCTTTTTAGCTACTATTCAGCTGTTGTTGTTGTGTTTTTTTTTTGTTAACATATCTGCTTTTTACAGATAATTAAAAAAAAATTGTGTGCTCTTTTCTGCTTCTTTAAGCTTAATTAACACCCTCATTCGCCCCACTCTGGGCCCATGAGCAAGGCCCTTAACCCCCACCATGTGCTCCCTAAACAGGTCTCTCTTGAAAATGAGTTCTCGTGGCTCAATGAGACTAACCTGGATAAATAAAGGCTAAATGAAAAAAAAAAAAAAAAAAAAAATTAGACACAATTGTGCTCTCTCTACCTCCTTCGGATAATTTAAGCTTCTTTCTGCCTTTTCAGCTATTTTTTTGGTGCTAATTTCAGCTTTTTTATTAGCTAATTTAATGTTTTGCACTCATTTCTGCTTGTTTAAACTAAATTCAGCAAACATTCTTTCTGCTTTCTTCTGCCAATTTAGGCTTGTTCTTCCATTTCAGCTACATTTCAGATTTTTTTAAGCTAATTTCAGCTGTTTTTCAGCAAGTTTTTCAGCAATAAGCATTCACACTGCATGTTTGCAGGAAATGCAATTTCTCTAGTTTTATTTTAAAATGAAGTCGTTGGTGGGCTGAACTGAGCACCCTTGTGGGCCTGATTTGGCCTGCGGGCCACCAGTTGATTAGCCCTGTAACAGTCAAGATCTGTTCAAGTTTAACCATGTTTTGGTTTTTGTGTCAGTTTCTAATCATTTCTTTAAGTTTTCCAATTTGTAAAATTTTTATTATTATTTTTTTTAATCACTGCTTTGGTTTGCAGGTTCTGTTAAATCTGTATATCCAACATTTTTCAGTCAGGTCATCTGGACAGTTTCTTTTTTTGTGCTGAAACGTTTCGCCTTCGATCCTGAAGGCTTCATCAGTCAAGGAAACACACAACACAAAACTGATTCTTCCCCCAACAGCTTACTCCAAAGTGGAACAAACCAGTTTGGTTGGTGTTAAGATGGTCTCTTTGATACGCCCCCTCCTCCATTGCCGGCCTTCTTCTTGTTGACAGTCATGTCAAACTGGTTAAAAACAACAAAGCCCATGCTCAATAATCTCAATAATTGAAGGCGAAACGTTTCAGCACTAAAAAAGAAACTGCCCAGATGACCTGACTGAAAATGTTGGATTGTATACCTGGATTATTGAGCATGGACTTTGTTTTAAATCTGTATAGTTTCTGTGTTCTGGGTAACTTTACATGCTTTATTTAGTAGAACCTGCACATTATTATTTCTGTTAAATTTAATTATTTAATTATTTGTATTATTATTATTTAATACAACACTGTAATAACTGTGTTTTCAAGCCCTCAACAACAATTCACTGAAAAAAATCCTGTCTAAATCTCGAAAAATCTTCCTGCTATAGGGTTAGACCTGCAGGGGATGCAAAAAAACCCAGATACAATTATGAGGGTAAAGACATATTCTCTAAGTTTAGTGACTAGCTTAATCAGTTTGTAATAAAATGTTTTGATGAGCCAAATGCAGTCATAAACTCACCAAGGAACGAGACACTGGTCTTTGCTGCTGTCATCTGCATTATCTGAATCTTTCCACGGTGATCCTTACCTTTCACAGCTGATGTGTAGAGAACAACCAGTCCTGCCAAGGCGCAGCTGACCATCAGCAGCAAGACGGACAGTCCGATTTCTGCAACTGTCCAGCGGCGTTTCCCAGGTTTACTTGTTTTCTCCATGATATCCATTTGGCTTTCGGATTTGCCCATAGTCCTCCTGACTGCCGGCTCTGTGGGAAAGACACGTTAAAGTGTAGGATGGTTCATGCACAGAGATACTACCGATGTGTGTGTGTGTGGGTTGTGCAGGGATCCATCGGTAACTGTGCCAGCTGACCTGCAGAGAGAAAGATTCTGCTGAACACCTACAACAACTTCTCAAGTGCTGGTCTTGCTGCACAAACACAGCTTTTTAGCCTTTTCTAAAATAATCTAGATTATTTCCACCTCTGTCAGTAATATTATTGGGGGGGAAGTTAAAAGCACAATTTAAAGTTTAGAAAATTAGTTGAGTTTTCTAAGATGCTGGTGAACTCAGTTTTTAAAGTTAAACATTATGGAAGGGCTGGGTAATGTTTTCAATGTGACTTTACATCAAAAAGTCAAGTTTCTGCGCAGGTCGTTCTTCCTGTGTATGTGCGGTTTTCTCCAGGTATTCCAGGTTTCCTTCCACAGGTGAGACACATGGCTTTAGCTGTGAGTGAGTATGCACGGTAATTTGCCTTGAGTACTGGCTCTGCAAAGGACTGGTGGTCCGTCCAGGGTATACTGGCTGTTGAAGAAGCACCAGGTCCCCCGTTAACTTGAACACCATTAGGCAGGTACAAAAATGAGTGACAGATGAGATAGAGGTAAACCTTGTGAACAAGGTCTTTTTAAACCGAGATCTATTTCTACACTACCACAAAGCCTTGATGCTTAAACCTAACCAAACACTGACTGGGAACAAAAGTTGCACATGCCTAAAAATATAATGGAATAAAAAGACAGAGTAAAACTTAATCAGGTCATCTGGGTAGTTTCTTTTTTGGCTGCGACGTTTCGTCCTGCATCCAAAGGACTTCTTCAATCTGAGCCACCAAACAGACTGATGAAAGCATGAACTTTGGTGTTTTGAACCACTTTGGCATGAATGTCTCAGAGGAGTTGACGAGGGAGAGGTTAGAGGAGAGGATAAGATTTTATGGCTTTCATCCAGGAAGCTGAGTTTCAAGTCTCAACTGGAACTGTTTTACATTTTCAGTATTTTTTCATTGAATATGTTCATGTTCAGACTTTGTTCAATTATGGTTTGCTAAACACCAAAGTTCATGCTCAGTAATCCAGGTAAGAATCCAACAATGTTCAGTCAGGTCATCTGGACGGGTTCTTTTTTTGTTGAGACGTTTCGTCCTTCATCCAAAGGACTTCTTCAATCTTAGATTACACCAAACAAAACTGATTCCCACAAGCAACATACTCCATAGTGGGGAAAAAAAGTTTGCTGGTGCTAAGCTGGCCTCCGGGGCCTGCCCTCAAAATGGGACAGAGACCCAAAAGTCCCAGGTTCAATCTCCGGTCATTGCGCATCTCGTGGAGTCTCTGAGCAGCACACCTTATCCCCAATTTCTCCCTGGGCACTTTCAACAGCTGCCCACTGCACCACCTGGTGGTGGATGGATTAAATGCAGAGGGCCAATTTCACCATTGTATGGGAACATACTGTACAATAATGACAAGACAACATTTTTATTATAAGATTTTAGAGCTTTTTGTGTCTGCAAACAGTAAATAAACTCAACTCTCTTGGGATGTGAAATCATACCACTGGATAGATCCTGATGAGCTAACAGTTGTGTTTAAAAGACTCAAATGAAGTACAGGGACTTCTGCAGTTGAGTTACTTCACTTAGTTAATTGTAATACTTAATAACTGAAATAACTCTTTGATTATCTTTAAATATTGTGCATGAAAACACATTCAGATTTAGTCCTCACTCACTTGAATGGACTATTTTGCTGTGGTATTTGGCTTTAGCAGTCCTGCACATCATTCAGTGCCACCGTTCGTATTTTGTCCTGTGTCGCAGCTTTTAGTTTTATCACCGAGCTCCACACATCGTTAATGCAGTGAGTGATTGTCTACTGAATGACATTTATTGTGGAATCAATTTGGCACACAGTAAATGAAACACACAACTTACTCTATTGTTTAGAACATTAGCGCCCACCTTGCCTCTCCAACCAGTGCACACACACGCACATAAAACTACACGCCTAATACAAAAGAGATGATTTATATGCACAATAATTATGTATGTGTGAACTCAATATCGCAAATGAGGATTTATGCAGAGGACAAAACCAATAATCACCAGTGGCTGTCAGTGACCATTTTCTCTGCAGCACCTGTTTCCTCCATGACCGTCCTCAGTGGCCTGCCATCAGGCTGTAAATCAGAGGTTGCTGCGCTCCATCGGTTTTCCAGATGAACACTCATGGGCACAAATCTGCCGTTACACTGACTGGGAGCTGGGAATGGCAGAGGCCTGCTGGAGCTTTGGTGTCAACCACAAACTGAATTGGCACCTTAGTGCACTGTTTGTTTGTTTGTTTGTTTGTCATTTTTATTCATTTCATATTTAAAACACAAAAACAATTTAGAAACCAAATGAAAAAAAAAAACACGTCATAAAATGAAAGGTAGCAGAAGAAGAAAAAATCTTATCATATCTGCCCCTTGTTTAAAACAAAATCAATTCAAACAATAATCATCTATAAGTAATATAACAAAATAAATAACTCATCCCAATTTTTCGTATTTATATGTATCTTTCCAAAATTTTAATCTTAATCATTTTCTTAAATATAGGCAATGACTTGACTTTTTTTACATCGTTTTCCAAACTATTCCACAGACCTATTCCCTGAATTGAAGTAGACCGCCCCTTTAAACTGGTTCTGTACTGGGGTTTAACAAAAATGTATGTTCCCTTAAGATTATAGCAACTTATCCTTTTTACAAAATACGTTTGAATGTTTGAAGGTAGTATGTAGTTCTGAGCTTTATACAGTACTAAAATAATATTATAGTTAACCAAATCATAAAACTTCAGTAATTTCAATTGATAAAATACTAGATGGATGACAATAATGCTTTCTTGTGATAATTCTTATAGCTCTTTTCTGCAAAATAAAAATAGGCATCGTTATAGTTTTACATGCTGTTCCCCAAACTTGAACACAATAAATTAAATGCTGGACTATAATTGTATTATACAGCAAATACAAGGCTTTATCATTCAATAAGTCCCTTACTTTATACAGTATTGCAGTGGATTTAGATATTTTAGTTTTTACAGAATTTATGTGCTGTTTCCATGACAGTTCATCATCAATAATTACACCCAAAAACTTCACCTCACCACACCTGTTTCCACTCACCTCCTCACCCATTTCAAGCCCAATACCGTGAGGAACAGTCTTTTTGCTTTAAAGCCGTGCCACAGTTTGAGTAAAACAGTGTAAAGATGCCTGGTTTGTCAGCAGATCTGCTGCAGGATCAATTAATTAGATTAGTCAATAACTGGGGATCTTACTTCTTACCCATACACAGAATTTATTTATGTTCTGTTGTACTCAAAAGCACGTTGAAAGAAAATTCCATTGTGAGTTCATGTCTCACCAAAACAGCAAAAACTACTTAAAGGGAGAGGAAATAGAAACAGCTGAAACATTTAAAACCATGTTTTTAAAATGGCTTTTGCTCTCGTCTTTAATCTTTCTTTCTCTTATCTGTTCCTCTCTTTATTTAAAAGGAAAAGCACAAACTTAGCCATTAGTTATGGTTTGGGGTTTTTGTTTTTGTGATTTGATTTAAGCTTTATTATTATTTTCATGCCATTCAGTTTTATAAGTGTAACGTTTGTTGTCTCTAGATGTCCTTGTTGTCCTTGATTTTTGCTCCTGCCTCACCTGATTCCCATTTCACACCTGTTTCCACTCACCTCCTCACACATTTCAAGCCCAATACCATATTTTTCAGATAAGGTGCACTTAAAATCCTTTAATTTTATCAAAAATCAACAGTGAGCCTTATAATCAGGTGCACCTTACGTATTAATTCTGGTTGTGCTTACTGACCTCGAACCAATTTTATGTGGTACAAGTGAACAATGTTGAGAGTTATTGTGAATGAATTGAACAAAGTTTGACTTATCTGACTGTTTTGTTTCACTTAATACGCCTTATGTATGAAAACAGACCCGTTCATTGATATTGAGCCTTATAGTCAGAAAAATACAGTAAGCTTAAAGGAGCAGTTAGATGTGACAGTTCCCAGCACGAGTTAAACTCACCTCAACAACACTCAGCATTTAAACATCACGTGTTTGGTTTTGAAAAAAGGTGATCAAGGAGTTGTAATGGACAAAAATAATAATTATTGCTTTATTTTGATTCATGTTTAGGCATCAATGATTTTAACCCCCCTTTTTTTACACTTAAACAAATAACTAGCCGCTAACAAAGGAACTTGTAAACTTTAAAAAATGGAAAGCTCAAGCAAAAATCAGTTATAGGTGTAAAATAGAGCTGACACTAAATAAGTGTTTAAAAAAAAACTCTCAATGACAAAATAAATGTATTTTTTTCTTTTCTGTTTTAACACTTGATCCAACTTTTATTTTAGCATGACATGATACTACCTTAAGCCATCTTTAAAAACTTCTTCAAGGAAAGTAAATTTTCTAAATTAGTCCAAGACTTTTGCATCTTTAATATTCATGAATAAGAGACATTTTAATAATAAAAAAAATACAAATGTAAACACCAGGCTATGGTGATATTTAAAAACCTTAAAAGAACAAAAATGCTAAAAACCTACACTGGGCTGAATATCGGCTTTATGACGATTAATTAGTGGCAGAAGTGGATGAAATATTAAAAGATTTAATATATTCAAGACAAAATGCTGTTTGCACTTTTCTTGAGCACACAGTGTGCCCAAGCTAATGGATCAAACTAGAAATTTAGTTTTGCAGCAACTGCATCTACAAACAATAATAATACCAAAAAAAAAAATCTGTTCAATGTAGCCATAACTAAACGTTTAAAAATATGTTTGAATCAACCACTGAAGGTTTATGAAGTACAACTTCATTCAGTCTTGTTTTATGGTTTTGTTTGACAAAGTTACTGAAATAAAAACTGACACGCTTGATGTAAAATAA